CAGTCACATCCCTCAGTGGCACAGTCACTGGCAAATTGCCCTTGCTCAATGCAGGCAACCCTAATTAAATGCAGAAGGCAGGAAAAAATAGGAAAGAAACTTGCTGGGAAGGGGAACAGACTTGGAGGGAGGGGGATAAAAAAATAATGGAGGTAGAAATGATCAAAGTACATTTTATATATGCATGAAATTGTGAAATAAATAACAAACAAATAAACAAACAAACAAACAAACAAATAAATAAATAATGAATCAGATCATGTGTCCGGCGTGGTGGGTACACACTTGTAAACCTAGTACCTGGGAGGCTGAGACAGGAGTTCCAGGCCAACCTGGGCTACACAGTGAACTTTGTCTCAGAAACAACAGAAAACAACCCCATCCCCTAAAAATAGTTTGTGGAGTCGCTCCCAGAGTTTCTGACTTAGGAGGTCTGGGGGAGGCCTGGCATTTGCATTCTGCCACAAGTTCTTAGAAGATGCTAGACACAGCCTGGGGACCACAGGTGAGGAACTATTGTCTTAGGGTACCTGCAATCACTATGTTATCGTCATTTTGCAGGAGGCCGTGGTCTGGGCTTCATCTGATTTGCACGAACCTCTCTGAGCTTGGATTCCTTCACTTCAGGAGTCATCACACAACCTTTTCCTAAAATCAATCAGACTGAGTCAAATGTATTTCTTACGTTGTAGGTGGCATTCTGGCTTCCATCTTCCTTCAAAATAATCAGACTATTTCTGTCTCTTTCCTATTCTTTCTTCTCTTTCCTCCATATCTCTAATAATCCTGAAAAGAGGAAGGTGATAATCTAAGCTGTTTCCAGTCATTCATGGGGGAGCACACTGACAATCTCAGTTCCTCAGGAGACTCAAGCAGACTTTGAAGCCAGACTCAGTAACTAATCAAGACTCAGTCTCAGAATAAAATGAAAAAGGCTCGGGATGTAGCTCCTCGGCAGAACTCTTGCCTCACAGTGTAAGACCCTGGGTCCAACCCACAGTGGTGAACAGAAGAAGGGGTTATTTGCTGTCCTTTTCCATGAGAACGTGACCTCCTAGGGGAGAACAACCTCACTTTATTATAGCTTCTCCTTCCCACCAGTCTATGGATATCTAACTATCATCTGAAAGTGTAATTCTTAATTTCTAGTAATATTTATGGAACCACAGTCCTGCTGCAGGACAGCATAGCATTCAGTTCATGTTTGCCAAATGAGGTAGTTTAACTGACCTCAGAGCTAGAAGGTTCCGTAGTGCCCAATATTCACTTCCATGTTACACATGTGACAATCAGGGTTTACAGAGCCAGTGGATACACACAAGGTCACCATACTTGTCAGTTCAAGAGCCAAGAAATCCTGTAGTCCAGACAGCTACTTTCTGCCTGGACCACTTCCCTAATCAGCCATCCTTCTGACCAATTCAACTGAAACATATCAGCAGGGTCTGAGATGAGACAGAGTGAGCACAGGGCTAAACATCTAAACAACATCCACAACATCCTCCACTAAGGAAATGCACTTATTAGAGAAAAGAATTTCTAGCACAGCTTGCTTTATTTAGATGCTTTAGCACCCCCACCACTTTTTTTTTTTTTTTTTTTTTTTTTTTTTTTTTTTTTTTTGCGACACGTATCTCATGTAGCTCAGGCTATGTAGCCAAGGGTGCCTTTGAACTCCTGATCCTTCTGCCACAACCTCCCAAGTGCCAGGATTGCAGATGTGCGGTATTCACATGCTGTGTGGATTTCTTTACCAAGTGTGTATGAAAGGGTGATTATAGAAAAACTAAGAGAAAGCCTAGGAAGTTCAGAAATATACAAAGTCTGATGGGACTTTTATCCAGCATCACTCTAACACATACCCACACCTCTGCCAAAACCAGATACACCTGTGTCGATGGCTGAACTAATTAACAGCAGCAAAATGGAGACGGTGTTTGTACTGAAGTCGTTTCACCCTGCTTTTCTCAGATGCAGCCAGAACTGGGGTCAGGGAAAAGAACCAGGTGTAGTTGGGTCAGGAGGCTTCCTCACAGGACTGAATGTTATCCTGTCATCAACGCTGCCTGATAGAGTCAGAGATGCTGCTTCCAGCTAATAGAAGAAGCTAAAGCTCTGAGAGCTGTAGGCCTAGGGTACGTAGGAAGAACAGGTGCAAACCTAGGTCCTTGGGATCTTATGTTTCCTCCACACTGAGCTAGGCAGAAGTCCAGAACCTTCACCAGCTGTGGAAGAGCTCGGCACATTATAAGCTCTATCACCTGCCTGAAACGCCTGTATATATCCTGTCCTCGTCCTGCTTGTTTTGATTCTACTTTTTTTTTTTTTTTTTGACTTTTTGAGACGGGGTCTCCCTGTAGCCCGAGCTGTCCTGGAACTCACTGTGTAGACCTCTGCCTCCCGAGTGCTGGGATTAAAGGCATGCACTACCACACCTGGCTTTGATTCTACTTTTTAAAAAGACAGTGTATGGGGCTGGAGAGATGGCTCAGTGGTTAAGTGCACTGACTGCTCTTGGACCCGGGTTTGATTCCCAGCACCCACATCTTGGCTAACAACCGGCTTAACTCCAGTTCTAGGGGATTCAACACCCTCTTATCTCCAAGGCATTGCATGACACAGGTGCATTTAAGTACATGCAGGCAATACACTCATACACATAAAATAAAAATAATAAATAAAATATTTTTAAAAACAGCGCAGTAACAGAAGCAGCTCACAGTAAAGCCTGTTGATCCTGGCCACTTGGCCTTATCTAAAGATGCACAAATAGAAATAAAGAATAAGAACAGTCCAAACAGTCATGAAAGAAAGAGCTGCTGCTGTTTCCCTTAGTGCGCATGATGCCATGTACTTCACCTGTGCTTTCACACAGGTTACAAGAACCTAGCAGCCACACAACCTCATCAGACATGGGACTTGGGGCCGTCGTATATGACAATGCTATTTCCTAGGCTGGAGGAAGGGTGTGTGTGTGTGTGTGTGTGTGTGTGTGTGTGTGCGCAGACAAGTGCCAATTTTCTTGAAGATTTGCCCAAGTATAAGCTGATGTATCTTGTCAGATCTTTAGTCTTCAATTTCAATGCTAGGTTACTGTTGCTTCTAGGCCATTCTCCCCAACCTCCAAGTAAGGCAAACAACAATAAAAAAATAATGAGCATTAGGGGCTGGAGAGATGGCCCAGCAGTTAAGAGCACCAGCTACTCTTCCAGAGGACCCAGGTTTGGCTCCCAGCACCCACATGGCGGCTCACAACTGTCTATAACTTCAGTTCCAGGGATCCAATGCCCTCTTCTAGCCTCCCTGGGCACTGCATGTATGTGATGCAGTTACATACATGCAAGGAAGACACTCATACACATAAAATAAAAATCAATAAGTCTTTTTAAAAAACCTCCCAAACATTAGTGATTTTGTTTCTAAAGGTTTAAAAAAAATGGTAGCCTTAAACTGGGTGCACATTTGTAATCTCAGCACCTGGGAGGTGAAGGCAGAAGGATTAGGGGTTCGAGGTCATCCTGAGCTACAAAGTGAGTTCAAGGCCAGCATGAGATTCTGTCTCAAAATGAAAGAAAGGAAGAAGGGAAGGAAGGAAGAAAGGAAAGAAGGAAGGGAAGGGAGGGGATTGAAGGCAGGGGGCAGGAAGGAAGGAAGGAAGGAAGGAAGGAAGGAAGGAAGGAAAGGAGGGAGGGAAGGAGGGGAGGGAAGGAGGGAAGGGAGGGTAGTGAATTTGAGGCCAGACTGGGCTAGAGGGAGGGAGGAAGGAAGGAAGGAAGGAAGGAAAGAAGGAAAGAAGGAAAGAAGGAAGGAAAGAAGGGGGGAAGGGAGGCTGGCAGGCAGGCTGGTAAGACGCTACAAAGGATAAAAGTGCTTGCTGTGCAAATCTGACAACTAAGTTGTCAGGATCTCACAGTGAAAGAAAATACCCCAAAAGTTGGCCTCTGACCTCCATGTGTGCATGTATACACATATACACATTTTACACACACACACACACACACACACACACACGGTGGCATGCATGTGCATACTATCGGTGTCCTCTCACAACGGGTCAGACACTATGCATGGGTACCCTTGCTATGCACCTGCCAAGCTCATGAGAGGGGACACCCTTGATGGATGCGTGCTCAGCATCATCAGTCAGAACAGAGGTAAGAGACCCTCTGTCACCATTCCTGAAGTAAAGCTGTATTTCCATTGTTTTAATTAAGATGTCCTTGCCATTCATTTGAGGAAAGAGCTACACAAAGATGAGAATGATCCGAGGATTGCATGGGCAGATAAGTATCAGTTATCTTTTCCATATGTGAAGCCATCACCACACTTTTGGGGAGAGTGTTTAACAGTTGTGTTGGAGAAGGGACATCAAATGATGCTTAGAAATGTGATACATATTTTCATTTCACACTCCATCAGCTTTTACAACTGTAGCTCAATGAAATGTGAGAGAGTGCTTTGCACACAGCCACATTTACCAAGGTATAAAATAGGGGTCAGGTTACTTTTTTATAGAAAGAAAAAAAAATGTTAATTTTCACTCCACACGACTTGAGTAGATAGGCAGCTCGCACTAGCGAGAAGCTCCACAACCACAATCACGGCAGGTTTAGTGCCTGTTCACGGCAGGTTTCGACTATGGTATAAACAACTTTGTCAGCAGGAAAGCACAGTTCACCAGTCCCTTCTCTTCAGCATCTGTGGGTACAGAGCACGCTGGATCAGATCACCCTTGGTGCTGAGTCTTTTACCTGCAAATGATGGCTTCTGCCCTGCTTCTGGCCTGGGAAAGCAAACAGCTTATTCCCTTTTGGGGCAGATAAGTGAAATATAGGCACCAGTAAAAACATGGCAACACACTGGGCTTTCGGTCTGTCAGGGAGGATTAAAGCCCACGTATCCCTAGAAAGGGACAATAAACAACAGCAGCAAGTGGCACAGGGCCTGGGCTTCCACAGCTGCCTCTCAGCAGCAGCTGAAGAAAAGCACCTTTGACTCACCTCTGTCAAACCTGAGACTTCTCCCTTGGCCAGTGGCTTGCTGATGGATGGCGTGTACACTCTGGTGTCCGACACTGGCTGGCCTTTCATGAAATGTTTTCCTGATTCATAAATGTCCACCTCGACCATTTTCCCCATGAATGGAGGGTTCTTTGGCACTAAAACCTTAAAAAAGATTTTCAGAAAGATTAACATCAACTTTGTTGGCCAACACCGCCAACCTTACAGAAGGAGACAGACAAGAGAGGTCTGCGTTCCCACACTCAGTCTCCTTTATCATTAACATCTTCCAATCGCATGGTGCATTTGTCACAGAGGGAATGAAAAACAACGTGCCACTATCAATGAAGGTCCACATTTCATCCCGATATCCCCACATGGTTCCTCACATGATTTTCCTGTTCTGGAATCCCATCGACAGTGGGCTCTGTCTTCTGGAATCCCATCGACAGTGGGCTCTGTCTGGCTGCCCAGGGATCTGGTGCAGAGGGTGAGGAGGGCTTTTGGGGGAGGAGCTGCCAGGCTGCACAGCCAGGCTTTCTACCACCTGATGCTGGGTTTCCTGAAGCCCACAGCGGGCAGTCAGGGAAACTCCCAGCAGCCAGGCAGCCTGCCCCTTCTGGATGGGCCTTTGATACTCTGCCCTTGCCTGTCCTGTGCAACGAAGAAAACTGGTCTAAAAATGATTAAAGCCTTACACTTTCAGTACCTTCTAAGCTGTCAGAGAAATGTTTCGAGTAAGATAGCTCAAATGAAGGCCTGTGTGCACAAGTGTGCAATAGGGACCAAGGAAGGACATTTCAAAGCAACCCTTTCAGCAATGCAGCACACTGGTGTTTAGCTCTAAACAGCTCCATACCAATGGCTGCCATTCACGTCTTTTGCTCTGTCAGGAAAGGCATGTGTTTGCTAGTGCGGAGCCAACCTCCCTACAGAGCCAGCCACTCTGAAGAGTACTTTGGCTGGCTCACAGGGACCTGCCAACAGCTCTTTCCCCAGAGGCTGCTGACTGAAGAACATGTTCACCTTGAACTAATGTCTCCTCTCATTGGGAACGCACAGGCAGTCGCACCCGCTGTCTCCCTCACATGTCAGTTTTAGTAGCTACCTGCCAACTTCTTCAAGTCAGGGTCCAACATAAACAGACGGACTCTAACCCAGCAACACTTTGATATTTTGATACCATCTTATTAAGAAAAATAATTCCTATGACATCTTTGATAGACTCAGTTGTAAAAACAAAAAGGAAATCAGGAGAGAGCCTCAAGCTGCAGAGCCTGCGTCCCCGAGAGCCCACACTGGGTCCCGTCTTTCTCAGCTTCATTTTTATGATCACTGCATACACGACTCCATCAGAGGATACGGAAAAGGTCACCTGGAGGGTGCCCGACTCCATCAGAGGATACAGAAAAGGTCACCTGGAGGGTGCCCGACTCACGGCAAGTCAACCACTGAAAGAGCGTTAGCATCAGGCCATGAAAGCATTTTTAAATTAATTTTTAAACAGTAAGAAAATCTCTAGGCCAAACTCCACCTGGAGCTCTGGTGGTTCCTGGGAAGAACCTTTCTTGATCTGCTGCCTTGACCCAAATGCAGGGCTCAGCGCTTCTGGTGTTTGTCCTCAGGTTTTAATAATTGGAAAAAGCCTGACTGCCTCCCGTTGGAGGAAATGGCTAATGAGGCATGCCATTGCCTTTAAAGTGAAGGGAAGGGGCAAGGCAAGTAAAGCACGTCGGGTCCTCCCTGGGGCCCAGCACAAGGTTGGCCTACATAGGAACTGGCTCTCTGGACTCAGTTCAGGAGATGGAAACGGAAGAGGTTCAGTTCAGAGGTGGCACGTAGGGACTGCTTCCTTCGCTGCTCAGCACAGCCGGTCTAGCTGGGCTCTGGGAAGTTCCACACCCTCTATCTCCCACCCTGAACTGCTGCCCAGTTTAAGACTGTTCCAAGCGCATCAGCAACAAGGAGACCTCTTCACTGCTTTCTAACTTGGGCAGTGGCTTCCAGTGCCTTATCTGAAGTGTCCACACGGGACTTAAGCATCTGCAAATCCCAACTGCACCCATGAGAAAAAACCCTACTTCTGAGCTGATGAGAAAGGAACACAAGTACATAGAAAACCCCATCTGCCCTGAAAGAAGACAGCACAGCCGCCCACACGCCCCTCAGGTCTCTTCTAGGAAGCACTTCCCGCGCCGTCCTTGGTCCTCCCCTGGTCCCTCCCTGAGGCAGGCACTAGGCTTCCATCAGCCACTTCTGACTTGCATTCCCCCTCTGGAGAAGTGGAGCCCCAGGTGCTGAGAGGGTCCTCCGGGCCTCCCAACATGGCAGCTTTGTTCAGTTGTTGGGCTGGTTTTTGGTTTGTTTTGTTTTCTGTGTTTGTTTTTTAAACTTCTGCCTTGCTAAGAAGGCTTGGGGGCTGAGGAGAGTCAATTTCTAGAACTCCATTCAGCTTGGTGAGCTGCTCCCCAGGCTTTGTGAGGGCAAAACAGTTTCACTAGGAGGGTTTTGGAGGCCTCCTCGGGCCCCTGTTGCTAGCCTTCCTTCCCTAGGTGAAAGGAAATCCTACCCTTCCTGGTGATGTTCCTGTACACACTTTCTTCCTGCTTTCGGACAGGACTCCTCCACAACTCGAGGCTGTGAGAACTCTGGCTGTAAGAGCTGCTGGGTTCCAACTCCCAGAAGCCCAAGGCTATGCTGTCATTGACTGATGTAATCTAAACATTCAAATAGCTTACTCCTTCCTGTGCACACAAGCACAATAAGCCATGGTGACCCCCTGTCAGCCTGGCTCTCCAGAGTCAACCCTTTCCTTTTTCTTTCCTCTTTTAAGTCCCCTCTGCGTAAACAAATGTTCTCATTTTGGAGAAAACGTCAAGATAAGTGAAGAGATTCTTACCTGTTCATAGAATCGATTATGTGCAACATAAAACTGGGAGTCAAAAGATTCTTCTGTTACTAAGACTTGCTGTCTTTCCCCAATCTGTGGTGAAAAGGGAGGGGGAAAAACAAGGATAAATGATAGAGAATCCAAAAATAAACACCAGCCCTTGTAGTGTCCCAGACCATAGTGACTTGAATTTAAAGTAGATTGCAGGTAACACTGTTCACATCTCATTTAAATCTCTTGAAAAACATTAACTATGTGGGGATGTAAAATCACATAGCATAAACTCTACTTTCTAATATCACTATGACTCAGAAGTTGATTGGATTTCTTCTTTCAACATAAGCAAGGTATAACAAAAGTGTCTAAGATACATCAAAACCTAAACATCACCTTGGCAGACAAAAGAACGATGAGGAAGAACCCAACAGGGGGATGCTTTGGAAGCCCTTGTCAAGAAATTCCAATGGACTCTCATATGAACATTTGAAAATTACTCTGCTCTGACTTTTTTCTAGTTCCCTGTCTAGAACTTGTAATGCTAATTACTCTTGCCTTTACTTCTCCTTCACATCTCCTATTCATGATTCAAGGACTTTCTTTTCCCCTTAGAGATAGAGTTATGCAATTTGGGAGTCTTTTAGAAAGACCCAAGGAAGGGATAACTCCACTTGCCTCACCAGAGCGGTCTGCATCCCGATTCCCTATTGGCAATCTGGGTAACCTCTTCAGAGGATGGTGTGGTAAGACTAGGAGGTAGGAACTGGCTAGGCAGTTAGGGTAAAAAGACTCCAAAGAAAAGTAGCCAGTTTCTTGGCTAAAAGTCAAAATGTCCTTGGGTCTCTTAGCAACATACTCTGTTCCAAAGGCCAAAAATGCCGAAAGTATTTGGGAGCTTGTATCTAATCCTTAAAAGATTTTAGGGTTACCTCTTCCGGAATGTTAAGAGGTGCCAAAAGCCCCATAAAAAAATAAATCAATCAAAGAAGAAGAAAGAGTACATGAAGTTATCAGAAAAAAGTGATGGGGAGATATGGGAGGAGTTGGAGGGGAGGGAGTAGGCATGGATTTGACAAAAACACATTATATGCATGTATGAAATTCTCAACAAATTATTTATTTTTAAAAAAGATACATCAAAATCTAAGCATCCCATTTTTTCTTGAGATAAAGTTGTATAACAAGCTGCTTCTAACCCAAAGTCAGGAAAATCCTTTGACGATATGGAAGAACAGCAATTAAGATTACTGTGAGTTATAAGCAATGTAACGCTAGAGAAGATGCATCAACGCTAGGTGATAGCATATGTCTTTACTTTAATCCCAGCACTCAGGAGGCAGAGGCAGGCCGATCGCTGTGAGATCAAAGCTAGCCTGGTCTACATAGCGAGTTCCAGGCCAGTTGGGGCTACAGGGAGACCCTGCCTCAAAAAAAGCAACAAACATACATGCAGTCATTAGGTAGAGATGGCTCAGTTGTTAAGAGCAAATTCTGTTCTTCAGAGAACCTAGGCTTGGTTCCCAGTACCCATGTAGAGCAGTTCACAAAAGCCTGTAATTCCTGCTCCAGGGGATCTGACCTCCTCTTCTGGCCTCTACAGCAACCTGCACTCTTGTGCACATATCCTCCATAAACACATAGATACAAATATATTTTTTAAAAAGTCAAGTAGCCATTGGGCCTCAATGCTCCACATGCTGCATATAAGTCTGAAATTATGGCTAATTTGCATATTTATTTATTGTATGCATTTTCTCTATTACAGGTAAATATCTTTTTGCTATAGTCACAACTCTGTCACTATTTTCTTTTAAAAAGGAGCAAACAGGAAATTATGAAATTTTCAGATAAATGGATGGAACTAGAAAACATTATTCTGAGGTAACCCAGACCAAGAAAAACAAGTCAAATGTTTCCATTCATCAAATCTTCAGATGTGTGGAGTACCTTTAGAACCCAGGGAACCAGAAAGGGATGGCTGAGGGAAAAGGGGGAGAAAGATCCTAGAAGACGAGGGATAGTAGAACACAGGTGATACTGCAGGGAAAAGGGAAATAATGGGGAGGGATGGTTAGATGGGGAGAGGGATGGGAAGGTAGGGTTGGGGGGGAGTGGGGAGAGGGATGGAGGGTAGGGCAGAGGAGGGGTGGGGAGGCATGGAGGGTAAGGTAGAGGAGGAATAGGAAGGCAGAGGTCTGGGAGGGTAGGGCAGGGGGCGGGGGGGAGGAATAACTACCACTAAGGGTATTTTAAAAAGCCACATGGAAACCCACTATTTACAAGCTTCATACATATCTATGTAGACAGACAGACAGATATCCATATGAAAGCTTAACTGGAGTTCCCCTGTAGGAACACAGGGAACTCTAGTTAAGTTTTTTTTTAATAGCCCAAAGAGATGTTTGCTTCCCTACAGATTTCTACCCAAAGTCACCTTCTCCACCTCAGGGGACAATGCCCCTCCCAGAAGCCACAGACTACCAAATGAAAACCTGGTCAGGAGTATCCTGGAGATCCCCAACACAATACAGGCTATTGCCATTACCCTTAGTTGCACACCAGAACTTAATGGTAAGGTCCCATTGCCAGAGATACCACAAACTTTGGTCACAGAACATGGAGAAATCAAGTTGGTTCTGACCAGGAAGCTTCCTCCCTGCTGGCTGGCTTGTGTAATACTGGAGGGGGCTATGCAGGCTGCTGGGGCAGAAAAGTCATTAACAGTCTGACCCAGCTGTCAACCTTGTTAACTATAATGAGCAGTATGATAGGCTATGCCCATGGGTGCACTAGTGGCAATGTTATAGGGGTAACCAACTGCTGTCTGATTGGCATTCAGGCCTGCTCCACAGGAGGAAACATATGCCTGGTACTGTAAATGTGACCAAGAACCCATGGTTGCCATGGTTGGAGAGCTCACAGGCCCCAGGGGTGAACCTTATTATTTTGTTAAAAGGGCATAGTATCACACTGCTCTCTAAGTTCATATCTCTATGTCCATAGACAAGTGCAGCTCTAACCTCATCAGAGACACTTCCTTGTGCAGTGGATGGTGGTTAATGCTGACACTCACAACTGGTCAAAGTGCAGAGAATAAGTGACTGTGGAGGGCTCACCACAAACGGGATGTCTATGTCACACCCCTGTGTGAAACAGTGTCTTCTGGCATGACGGCTGCTGTACTCATGAACACAAGACCTGCAGGAGATCAAGCCAGTCAGCACTCCAGCATGGAGGGGCTCAGAAGCCCTCATGCCGAGTGAGGAACTGGTGGCTTCTGGGGGAGGAGGAGTCAGTTTTCTTTAAGGGTGTGGTCCCTGGTAGGTTGACCATGCTGACAGCCCCACACCCACAAACATCTCTCTCTCTCTCTCTCTCTCTCTCTCTCTCTCTCACACACACACACACACACACACACACACACACTCTGTATACATACTGAGAAAGGCTGAGGAGGTGGGGTGGGTATGATCAAAATATATGGTAATGGTAAAAATTCTTAAAAGAATGAATGAAAATATACTTAAAAAGAGCAAATGCATCGGTCAGTTATGTATGTCTGGATTTCCAAATTTTGCACCCATTTTTTGACCACGAGTTTAAATCAGTTAAAACAATGGTTAAAGAGATGGGACTATGCCAGTTCCTGATTACCACAGTGCCCAGGTTTATTTCAGATGAAATGCATTATTTAAAGTATCAATTGCTTTTTTTTTTTTTTTTTTTTTTTTTTTTGTTTTTTGGTCTTTTTGAGACAGGGTCTCCCTGTAGCCCCAGCTGTCCTGTGTAGACCAGGCTGACCTTGATCTCACAGAGATCTGCCTGCCTCTGCCTCCTGGGTGCTGGGATTAAAGCCCTGCCCACTGTACCCAGCTACTTTCATTATTTTTCACTTTCTTTTTTCAAGACTAATTCAAGTTGCCCCATTGTTTGCTCAGCTGACTTGTATATTTATTTATTTACTTGTTTATTTTTGATGCCAGGGACTGAAAGCAAGACCTGCCTTGTACATGCCAGGCAAGTGCTTTGCTGTGCTACCTACCCCAGACCTCATTTGACTTAACATCAGGGCAAAGGAGTCAGTAGACCTGTGGAATGGATGAAGGTGGTCTTGGTACTGTGTCAGACCTGGGGGCTAAATTGATGACCACTAAGATATTATCATTGTCATCATATATCTGAGGACATGATGCCATTTCTCACATTTCAGAAGGAAGGTACAATATAATATGCCTGATCGGCAAGCCAGCTCCTGAAGTAAAAGCCCTGGAGACAGAGACCCATGGAAATATTTCTTAGCTGCTTTTTCTTTCCAAGACTGTGCAAAGATGTAATACTTTGAGATCCACAACCCCCCAGCCTTAGCTCCTCATTTTCCATTGTTATTACTTGCCCTGGAAGGCTAGGAAAGTATATGTAAGATTGAAGTGAGTCCCCACAGTGCTCTGAAATCAGGTCGCTCTGACTAAGCATGGATTCGTCCTCTTAGGACTTTGAATTTCTTCGACTTTATTTATTTCTCTGTTTCTATTCATGCTGTCTTTTGATGATTTTTTTAGTAAGAGCTCTTTTGAATTCTATGCCTTCTCCTCCCGCCCCAACTGATTAGTTTTCTTTTTTCTTTCTTTTTTAGCTATGAAGATAGA